GATTCACCAGAGACAGAATGGGGAGCAGAACAGGCAGATGTACTGAAATACACTGCTGAGGGGAGCAGCAGGCAGGTCAGGAGAGGTCTGCTGCACCATGTTGGTCACCTCCCTGGCTGGTGATTGAATTCTTGCTGCAGTGGCTGCTGATCTGATCACTTCATAGTGCTGTGTTTTAACTCCTTGCACCGCCAGGAAAGGTCCCCTCTTTGAATATTTTGATTACAATTGTTTAAAGTTTCTGCTAATAATTCCATTATAGGGATTCCCTTTAGGTCTTTAGATTGTCTGATAGTCTTTTTTTTTTTTTTTTTACCTATGATTTTGTCATCATAGAGGCCCAGCATTTCTGTTAGGAGCTAGACATTTGTACAAAAATAATTTAAGACTATTCAAACTAACCAATTAAATAAAAAGAATATTCAAGGCATAAGATGGTCAGTCTTCTTCCAGAGACTTTTAACCTGAGATTATCAACACTGTATATGATTCAGAGGTAAAGAATTATAGCAGAAGAGTTTTACTTTACTCATGCACCCTGAGCTACTAACCACCTGAGATCCTTTTTATCCAATCCATGATTGAGCTCATTTGAGCTTGTGGTTTTAGTTCCTTCCAGGTCTAGTCTATTTCCTGTAAATCTTCTCACCTTCTAGCATTTGGGCTTTGAAGGTCCCAGTTCAAAGTCTGAGGCTTTACTTTTACCACCCTCCCACCTACTTAAGAGTTCTAAATTCTTATTTTTTTAAAGATTTATTTATGCATACAAGAGTTGGGTATAGGCCAGAGTGTTGGAAGGTGAAAGGATTCATCAGAGTGGGGAGCAGAACAGGTGGATCCACTAAAATACACTGCTGAGGGGAGCATCAGGTGAGACAGGACAGGTTTTCTTCACCATGTGGGCTAGCTCCCTGGCTAGGGATCTAACTGGTGCTGCAATGGCTGCAGATAGCTGAAACTTAACCCTTTGCCTCACAGGGAGACCTAGATTTTATTTTTGTGTAGAACTAGGGTGCAGGCAAAAAGAGCAGGGACTGAAAGGATTCACCTGAGAAAGAAAGGGAAGCAGATCTACTGAAATACACTACTCTGCAACAGGAAGATAATTTCACTGGCCAAGGACATGGTAGCACTGAGACTTATTAACCCCTAGGCCAGCAGGGAGGCCCCAGGAGTTATAAATTCTAATTTCTAATTTATGTCTTAGTCAAGAGAGTCTTTTAAAAGCTCTGCTCAGTTTCTTTTGTTGTCAACCATTTCTTTTAATTGGCCCTCATGCTTGAGAAACATCTTAAGTGAGTTCTCTGGGTTTTCCTTCTTTTGGATCTTGACTTGTCCTTTCATATTTTAAAAAAGGAAGTTTTCTCTTATTTTCCAGCCTTTTTTCACTAAAAATTGCTTAGAATGCTATTACTTGAAGAGGAATTCCCTAAGTTCTGTATTTATACTCAGCTCCTCAGATTACAACCAATTTTCTTCTTGTCTCATAATGGCAAGCTAGCCCCTCTAAGAGCATCATGTCCAAGATTTCTAATGGAATTTTTTTTTCATATTTGCACGTTTGTTTCATTTCAATTTTTATTTCACAGATATTGCCTCAGTTATCTCTGACTCTTTTAGACATATTTCGAAGCTTTACTGAGTTTTTATAAAAAATTAATTTTTCCTGGATGAATTTTCATTCTTACTATTGATTTCTTTTAGCTTGATTTCCTAGTGCTTTTATTTCTTCTTGTGTGAGGTTATTGATAAGTTCACTTTGGGTATGATTTGTTGAGTTGTTTTCTCTCCTTTCCCTCTTTCTTCTTTCTCTTCTCTTTGGTAGTTTTCTGTTACCTTTACCTGCGCCTTCTGCATTCACCTCCTCTGTAAGAGTCATGTATAAAAATAGTGATTTAGAATAGTATATCATAGATTAAACCACTGTAACAGTAGCTAAATGGCAGTTTTATTTCCTGGCCTTATCAGGAAATTTTAAATGATGTAATTTTTTTTAAATCTACAACTTTAAATTTTATAATTTTTAATTCTGTAGTTATCTAAAAATTCAAAATTGTTGTCAACAAATTTATAATATATTTTAGGAACCAAAGTGGAATATCCCAGAAGTTTATTTAAGTGGAGCACTTTTAGTTCTTGCTATTTCTTGGAAACCTGAGTCATAGCTGTCACTGCCTGATTCCAAGCCCAGACCTGAGTAGGCCCATGGCTTCACTGATCATCCATTTATATTTCTGTTTAGTTTCTGTTCTGTAAATCCACATATACTTGTTTATTCTCTTCATCTCTTAACTGCTCTGACTTTAGATCAGAACTGCTTCTTTAAAGCCTGAATATGCTACACCACTTGGTAGTCATCATTCTTTAAAAATAATACAATAGTTTATTTTTACATCATTTTGTGCATTTTTCTGTCTCAGTTGTAATCCCCGTGGGCTTCCCATCACCAAATCACCTGTGTGCCATCACCATAGTCCAGGGCATTTCCCTCCCCCCACTGTTTGATAGTCATCATTTTTTTAAAAAAAGATTATTTATTTATTTATGTATATTAGTGCTGGGGTGCAGGCCAGAGGTACAGGGGAGTGAGAGGTTTTACCAGAGACAGAATGGGGAGCAGAACAGGCAGACCTAGTGAAATACACTGCTGAGGGTACCACCAGTGGGTCAGGAGAGGTCTGCTGTGCCATGAGAGCTGGGGATCAAACTCCTGCTACAGTGGCTACAGATAGCCTTACGGCCTGCTGCTTAACAAGTTGTATGACCAGGGAGTCCCAGTTGTTTCTTTTCAAAGTTTTGTTCCATTTTTTTCTATGTGATACGACATCATAAAAAAAAATCATCCATGAGGCTCTCCCTGGTGGCGCAGCGGGTTAAAGCACAGCACAGAGAAGCTAAAGCCACTTCCGCATGAGTTCGATTCCCGCCTGCCCCGGAGGTGACCACATGGCGCGGCAGACCTCTCCTGACCCGCCCGCTGCTCCCCTCAGCAGTGTACTTCGTCCATCTGCCTGTTCTGCTCCCCACTCTGTCTCTGGTGAAGCCTCTCACCCTCTGCATCTCTGGCCTGTACCCCAGTTCTGTATGAATAAATAAATAAATCTTTAAAAAAAAAAAAGACAGATAATAATCAGTGTTGGCAACATGTGGAAAAATGAGGAAATCTTCACTCCTACCTCCTATCCCATTACTTCTCAAAATATCAAATGGATAATTTTGGAGAACAACCTGATAGTCCAGGTCCAGGTTGTTTGTCACCGTTAAACAGAGAGTTAGCATATGATGCAGCTTCCACTATTAGCATATATATCTGTGAGACATGAAAACATACCCAAACAAAAAATTGAAAATAAATGTTCAAAAACAGCATTAGTCATAATTGGCTAAAAAAAAAAAAAGTTTGAACAACCTGAATTCTATCAGTTGATATATAGATCAATTTGACTAAAAAAGGAACAAAGTACTGATTCATGCATGCTACAATATGGGTAAATTCTCCCGTCTGGCTAGTGAAAAAACCAGTTATAAAATATTTACTATATGATTCCCATTTACAGTAGATCCTAGTATTTTGTGGATTCTGTATTCACGAATTCACCTACTTGCTAAAATTTATTTATAACCCCAAGGTAATAATTGTGATATGTACACAATCATTCACAGACCATATTTTAAAAAGTTAATGATTTCCACATTAACAGCAATAAAGTGATATTTAGAAAGCCACCATACACAATAGTATCAAAATCAAATATAAATCAAAAGAATACATGCACCCCTATGTTTATTGCAGTATTGTTTATAATAAGTAAGACTTAGAATCAACCCAAATGCCCCAAAATAGATGACTAGATCAAGAAGATATGTATATATTTTGGTATATATTACACAATAGGATACTATTCTGCAATCAAGAAGGATAACGAATGCCATTCGCAGCAACAAGGATGGAGCTTGAAGGGATTATGCTCAGTGAAATAAGTCAGAAAGGGGACCCTCCCTGGTGGCGCAGCGGGTTAAAGCACCTCACTAAGAATCGAAAGCTACCTACACATCTCAAACATGTATAGAAATTCAAAGGGTCAAATAATTAAGACATGCTTGAAGATGAAGTATTGTGGGAGGACTTGTTTTGTTGACTATCAAGACCTATTTTAAAACTAATAGTTAAGGATCCTCCCTGGTGGCGCAGCAGGTTAAAGCTCAGCCACTGCAGCACAAAGGTCAATTCCTGCCCAGGGAGGTCACCCACATGGTGCAGTAGACTTGTCTTGTCTCACCTGCTGCTCCCTTCAGCAGTGTATTTCAGTAGCTCTGCCTGTTCTGCACACGCACGCACACACACACACACACCCCTCTGGCCTGTGCCCCAGTTCTTGTATAAATAAATAAGCCTTTAAAAAAATAAAATTAATAGTTAAGATACTGCCATTTGATGCTAGAGTGGACAAATAACCTAATTCTAACTAACCCAGAGGAAATGGGTGTATTAAAAAGAAACCACAGATTGGGTACGCAGCTTTGGTGCGAGTTAGATCCTTGACCCAGATGTGAACCACATGGCACAGCAGACCTCTCCTGTCTTGCCACTGCTCCCTTCAGCAGTGTACTTTATCAGTCGGCCTGTTCTGCTTCCCACTCTGTCTCTGGTGAATCCTCTCACTGCCCCTGCACCTCCGGCCTGTAACCCATTTGTGTATGCATGAATGGATAAATCTTTAAAAAAAGAAAGAAAGAAACCACAGATTGAAGATGAAATTATTATTAATATCAGCATAAGTAAGCAAAATAGCAGATTTCAGTCAGCTATTTTATTTTATCCATTTTGTCTTAACACTGAGATTGTAAGCTTCTGGGTATCAGAAATTAGTTTTTTACTCACAAGACATCTTCAGTAGAATCTGTTGTAATATTTGCTAAAATGGAAGCTGTTTAGTGTTTGCTTTGAACTGAATTTATTGTATGTTTAAGTTACTATTTTGAATCTTTTCTGGTTTTAGAGCTGCTGATTTGGGTCCTACTTTATTGACAAGACCTGGACAACCCACACTTACCAGAGTGCCCCCACCTATTCTTCCAAGACCATCACAACAGACAGGAAGTAGCAGTGTGAACACTTTCAGACCTGCTTACAGTACATTTTCTTCTGGATATGGTGCCTATGGAAATTCATTTTATGGAAGTTATAGCCCTTATAGTTACGGATATAATGGTTTAGGTTACAACCGCCTCCGTGTAGATGATCTTCCACCTAGTAGATTTGTTCAGCAAGCTGAAGAAAGCAGCAGAGGTGCATTTCAGTCCATTGAAAGTATCGTACATGCATTTGCCTCTGTTAGTATGATGATGGATGCTACCTTTTCAGCTGTCTATAACAGCTTCAGGGCTGTGTTAGATGTAGCAAATCACTTTTCCCGATTAAAAATACACTTCACCAAGGTTTTTTCAGCTTTTGCATTAGTTAGGACTATAAGGTATCTTTATAGACGATTACAGTGGATGATAGGTTTAAGAAGAGGCTCTGAGAATGAAGACCTATGGGCAGAAAGTGAAGGAACTGTGGCTTGCTTGGGTGCTGAGGACAGAGCAGCTAATTCAGCAAAATCTTGGCCAATATTCTTGTTCTTTGCTGTTATCCTTGGTGGTCCTTACCTCATCTGGAAACTGCTGTCTACCCACAGTGATGAAATAACAGGTAAGAATAAGCAAATAGATTCAAAGACCATCTAGCAATCAAATTATGAGAATAGATTTGTTAAATTAATATTCTTTAAATGTATTTAAATATTTATATATGTATTTAGTATTTTGATCTAGTTATATATTTGCTTAAGAATTTCAGAGTTGGGAAAGGAATATGTAACAAAACAAACTTATTGGTTATTCATTGTTATCTTAATTAATGCTACATATTATCTAACTTCTATTTATAAAGTATTGAATTGATGCTATGATGGACACAGAGGTACATAGGACATACTCCCCCTATATTTCCAAAACTTAATGGGGAGGTAGATAAGGCAAATGTATAGGTAATAGTAATAAGGCAGAATGATAAGAAATAGGACAGTTGAAGAAAGCCTTTTTTGTATGTAAGAATTGGCTTGTATTTTTTTTTTTACTTACTTTTTATTATAACCCTAAGGCATAGGCAATATCTTCATTTCACAAGTGACAAAACTGAGATCCAGAGATTCATTTGCCCAAGTTCATATTTTAATAAGGTAGAACCTGAAACAAAATGAGACCTGTTTGACTCTTAAGTCCCAACTTCGTCAACTGGTACAAAGTGCTATGAGCTTAGAAAAGGAAGCTCACATTTATTAGCTATTGGTGTCTAAGAAGAATTTGCATTTAAGTTGGATTTCTTAAAAATTCATACCATTTCATCAGTTAGGGATTAAAAAAAAAAAAAAAAGACTGCCAAGCAGATAGAATATCTTGCACAAAAGTACATAGGTTGGGGGCCCTCCCTGGTGGCACAGCAGGTTAAAGCACAGCACTATGAAGCTGTCCACAACCCCTGCAACACAAATTCTATTCCCAACCCAGGAGGTGACACACATGGCATGGCAGACCTCTCGGGTTCCACCCGCTGCTCCCCTCAGCAATGTACTTCACTAGATCAGCCTGTTCTGCTCCCCATTCTGTCTCTGGTGAATTCTCTCACCCCCTCACCTCTGGCCTATACCCCATTCTGGTATACATACATAAATAACTCTTTTTAAAAAAGTGCGTAGGTTGGTAACATGGCAGATGTCCTATAATATTAAAGAAAAACATATTAAGAACTATGAGAAATTATGTTGAAGGCTTAAAGGGGAAGATTTAATCTTTATTTAGTAAGGATGATAGTTGTTTCTAAGTAGACTTGTGATACACATTTGAACAGTGCTCTAAAGAGATTGGTCTCTCTAAAGTATGTAAGTGTAAGTTAGTGTTGGTTAAAATATGTTGAAACTGGATGGTAAGATTTGTACAAATTTGAGGTTATGGTTACCTTTGTCTTCCCAAAAGTTAACAGTGTAGATGGAGCTTAGTAAGTCATTTTTAATTAGAGAATAACAATTATTGTGCTTTTGCTTTTGATTGCATGATTGGTAATTAAGGCCAACAGATATACAGTCTTAGTTACTGCCGAACTATGTTGTATAAAGGAAAAGGAATCAAAACACCCTAGACCTTTATGATTGGATTATTAGAAGATACTGTTTTATTCATTTACCCAATGAATGTGGAAAGCCTGCTACATGTCAGATAATTTGAGAAGCTAGAGGTATAAGCAGTAAATAAAACATCCTTTCCCTTATGACTATCTAGGGGACAAACAGCAATAAACAAGTAAGTTAAAAAAAAAAAAAGCAGTAGAGACAGGGTTACAGTGCTCCATATAGAGAGAAAGCCTCCTTAAAGAGATAGGAGACTAAGCTATGGAGCTATTTGAGAGATGTGCTTGAAGTACAGACAATGGTAAAACTGCAAAAGTATTTAAATAGCAGTGTGTCTGAGATCATGTGAACGGCAGGGAGAGTGGAAGTGAAGCAAGGAATGAAGTTGGAAAAGAGGTGGGAGCAGTACAGTGAATAGAGAGTAATAAGCCTTGCAGGAGTTTATAAGAATTTGGCCTATATTCAGTGAGAAACAATGGCAGTTATGAGCAAAGGAGTAACATGACCTGACTTAGCATTTAAAAGGAAAAATATTTTTAATTGTATTTATTGAAGTCATGTTGATTTACATTACATTTTAGGAATACAGATTCACTTCTATACAAGTATATGTATGTTATCACACCACATCTGCCACCAAAGTACCAGTAATCTACGATAGTCTGATGGGTCCCCTCCTGACCATGTTCCCAATCTTTCACCCTCCTTTTCTGATAGTCTTATAGTCACACTTCAGAGGTTAAGGAGAAAACTTTGTTTTGGTAAGAGCGGTTTTAGGTAGTCAGCGAAGAAGCAACCAATCCAGAGAGTCAAAAGCCCCATTACAGTAATGCAAATGAGAGATGATGGTGGCTTGGTTCAGCTTGACAGTGACAAAGATACTGAGATGTGGTCATATTCTGGATATGTAGTTGATGATAAAACCACCAAAATAAATACAGAGAAATCTCATGGACTAGTTGGTTTATGAGCAATTATCACTTATTTGATTGTGGCGTAGCAGTGGGACATTCAACTTGAGGAAAGCACTTTAAACAATAGGATAGGGTTTTAAAAGAGAGGTAAACATAAGAGTTGCTCACATAGAAGTGATAGTTGAAATAATATACATGGATGTTACTAACATGGAGGAGGGAAAAGGAAAGGGAATAGGATGGGAATCAGAACAGAAGTAGAACCATGTTATTTCTGTACTATAGAAGTGGAGGTGGAGAGAGAAAGTTTCAAAAAGGGGAAGAAGGATAATGTATGGTGGGTGTCGTGCTATAATAAGACCAAGAACTGAAAAAAGAAGTTCTTAGCTGCTTGGAGCTAGAGTCTGCAAACTTGCCAATAGGCCAAATTTGATTTGATCCTATTTTTGTATAGCCCATAAACTAAGAATGGTTTTATATTTTTCAGTAACCAGGAAAATAAAAAAGAACACTATTTGTGATAAGCAAATTAAATGCATTTCAAATATTAGTGTCTATTGAAGTTTTATTAGGATACAACTATACAAAACTGAATTATTATATTTTGAATTTTGTAAAAAAACTATGCAAATTTTTTTCTCCTGATAACTATACAGTGACTTCTTTTGCTATATGGCATGCAAAGCCATAAATATTTACAATCTTATCATTTACAGGAAAAAAATTGCCAGCCACTGGCTTAAAGTAAAGGAACTAGAATTTGGAGTTTGAAGAAAAGGTTTATAATATACCAGTGAAAATATTGTTCATTTTACAGAATTATAGATTTTCTTTGGGTTAGTGCTTTACTCATGGCAAATAAATTTATGCAGGTTGTAAACAATAGTCACTGAAATAAATATAATTTTCCTTTTGTAAATTTTAATAATCTTTTACTTCTTCACTTGGTTTATAGATAATACCAACTGGGCAAATGGCGAGGATGATCATGTAGTTGCCAGAGCAGAATATGATTTTGCTGCAGTATCTGAAGAAGAAATATCTTTCCGTGCTGGCGATATGTTAAACTTAGCTCTCAAAGGTAATTAAATTAAATAAATCAGAATTATCTGAATTTTTAGAATGTGTTCATATAGTATTAAAAACTGCAGCAAAGGACCTTGGTCATTATTAGTTAACACTGATATAGTTACTGGGATTTCTCTCTCATGTTTATTTAAAGACCTTCCAGATCCTGGGGCAGTAGAGGGGTTGCCCATTGCAGTTTTTAGGATATTTCACTAAGTTAAGGAAATAGTTCACTTATGTAATCTTTTCCAAACTCAAAACACTTGGATTTCAAACTCTGTTAATCCCTACACAAAAATTTGAGGCAAGCACTAAATAGTAGCAAGGAATTATGTTATCTAAGCATTCCTATTAGTCTTTGTTTGCTGAGACTGGTGTTGCTTTCTCTTTTTACCTGAAGTATTTACCAGAAACTCTTAACATGAATATTTAGGAATTATTGTCATGAAGTATTATTAAAAGGTCTCAGCACAGATTGTTTATATACGTAACTATGTAGTAGTAAAACAAAATTTACTTAATATTTTACTTAATTTCCTTATTATCAGTATTTTGTTGAACTTCTAAAATATGTTGTAATTAAAAGGCTGTCTTTTCTTCCATCAGAGCAGCAACCCAAAGTGCGTGGTTGGCTTCTGGCTAGTCTTGATGGTCAAACAACAGGACTTATCCCTGCTAATTATGTCAAAATTCTTGGTAAAAGAAGAGGTAGAAAAACAATGGAATCCAGTAAAGTTTCCAAGCAGCAACAATCTTTTACCAACACAACACTAAATAAAGGAGCCACAGATACTGATTCTTTGGATGAACAGGAAGCTGCCTTTGAATCTGTTTTTGTTGAAATTAATAAGGTTCCAGTTGCATCTGATTCCACTGGGAAAAGTGGAGATAAGCAAGATCTCTGATATCTTTTATGTTTGCCTGCAGTTGAACAATTCTTTGGAGTACTTTTTATAATTACCTGTTACAAAGAAATTAATCTACACCCAATGAAAAGATTTGTTATTGGCTATTCCAGGTGTTCTGCTTCTAGAAATTATTAAAGTCATATACTAGTATGTTGGTCTAGTGACCTGGTTACATTTTATGAGTTATTGGACCATGAAGATGTTTGTATCACCTTGATTTTAAGATTATGAAGACTGCTGTCATTTTCATCTATTTAAAACCCTGTGTTTATTGAAAGATTAAGATGGATGAAGTATAGAATATACAGTTTGCTACAATAGGGATCTTTTTTCTTTTTTAATTCTAATCCTCAGAAAATTGTAATCCTCAGAAAATGAGTGATAACAAAATATGAGAACAGACAAAAAGGCCTGTTTCACAACTTAAAGTTTTCTCATCTGTGTTATGTTTGGGTTTGCTTTAGCCAGTAATATACTTTTACCTACCAACAATTAATACTATTCCCTTTTATTGTATTTTTTAAAATGTATCCCAAAAAATGTCACTGAAAACATTGTAAATGAGATGGTTCTAGACTAATGGTTATCCCTGTTTTCTTTGCTACTAAAAAGACTAAAATTTATCTTTGTTACAGATTATCTCCATTCCTCCTGAAGGCCATATAACTTCTTATATGCAGTATAACTAGTTTTCATTTTGAATAAATTAAAATATATCAAAGATTTGCTTCCTTTTGCTCCAACCAAAACACAAGCCCTTTGTGTTTGTATTTAATGATTTAATTAGTTCTAGCAGTAATAATGTTCAGTCTTCTCATATATCCTCTGCTCTACCTATCATAATTACTTTTTAAATTACATATTCAGGTTATTCTTTAAATATTGAAAATGTGTCTCATTGGACTCACATTATTTTTCTTTTAGATTTAGTTTTTACTACTAAAACTAAATAAAATGCTCACTTGCCATTTAGAATATGATGATGCTATTTGACTTTTTTCTGTTTAATGACTTTAAATGCTGTTAAATTTCAGTATATTGAATATTTATTTCCCCATAAAATTGAAACATTCATATTATTCTTGCCATGATCATACTACAAAATAATTCCGTCAAGAATATAGTTCTTTAAAAAAACATCTACAGATATTATTTGACACTTGGAATTATTTGATAAAGATCTTGATTAAGTATTTTTATCATTAACATTTTTATCATTCTTCTTATATTCACAAATAACTAACTCTAGAACATTTAGAGTAAGTGAAATATTTAGGAACCAGTATATACAGAAAATATATATACACACATAGACAAAATTTACTAAAGACCTCTTGGGAACTTCTTTTTTGAAATGGCAGTAAAATGCATAACATATTTAGAATACAAGCCTTGACCTTATGCAGAAAAACCTATCTTAAGCCTGTTTTTCCTGGGTTCATTTAGTCTTCAATTTGAAGTAATGTTTCTTCAAATAATATCTGAAAATTCCTTTCTTATAAAATTCTGCAAAAAGTATTTAGGACTAAATAAGCAGAGAAATTTTGTTACCATTCTTATCATGACAGTTTTAGTATAATTTTTTTAGATTACAGTTATTTAAGAAATTATTTAAGAAAGTGCTACTTTATGAAATTACTGAAACCAATTAAATTTTCAATTAAAAATTAACGAAAAGGGGTTTCCCTGGTGGTACAGGGGTTAAATATCAGCACTATGAAGCTATCTGCTGCCACGATAGCACTAGCTTGACCCCCGGCCAGGGTGGTGACCCACACTGCGCAGCAGACTGCTTCTGTCTTACCAGTTGCTCCCCTCAGCAGTATACTTTGTCACTCTACCTGTTAGCAGGTCCACCATCCCTTTCCCAGCCCATCCCCACACTTCAAGCCTACACCCCAGCTCTTGTATGCATAAATAAATAAAAATAAATCTTTTAAAATAAGTAAAAATTAATGACTAAGTTACAAGAAGAAAAAAGCTTTCATTAAAATTTATTTTTAGTGTATTTTATCAATTTAGAATGAAAAAGAACTCTTACTCAGAGTTAAAGATCTCTGAATGTTTTAGTCTTTCAGTTAATCATAATTATACATTTACTTGAATACAGTTTTCCTTTACCTTTCGGTTTCTTAAAGGGAAAATAAAAACCTAAAAATTGAATGCAAGTATAGCTTTAATTTTAATAGATTGTGAATTACCTAACAAATAAAAATGTTAAACTTGATTGAAATTTTTTAAGATAAACTATTACTCTTTTTGCAGTATTGAAATTACTATAAAAAGTCTTTTTTCATAATGTGTATAACTGCTGTAAACTAGTGTCTGCATTACTTTCATATGATTTAAAGAAAAGTATTAAACTTACATTTGCAAAAGTAGGTTTTGGGAGACCTAGATTCTAGTCTAGATACCACTATATACTTACTGTATAATTTAACTCACATTGTTTCAGTTATTATATCTTCTTCATATGAGAATGCTGTTTTAAAAATGTGAAATATGGGCCCTCCCTGGTGGCACAATGAGTTAAAGCATAGGACTACGAAACTGGCCGCAGCTTCTTCAACATGAGCTCCATCCCCTGACCTCCCACCCCCCCACAACTGACATGGTGCAACTGACCTCTCCTATCTCACACCCTCTGCTCCCCTCAGTAGTGTACTTCATCAGTCTGCCTATTCTGCTCTGTCTCTAGTAAATCTCACCGCCTTTGCAGCTCTGGCCTGTACCCCAGTTCTGTATGTATACATAAATAAATCTTAAGAAAAAAATGCAAAGTACATATGTACACTATATGGCTTATCACAGTCAGAATTATTATGTAATTAATGTAATGACAACTATATGCTTTGTGAATTCTTCATGTACATTTAAACATCTTATACCCTATAAAAAGTCACAAAATATTTATATTAGTCTAGAATTTCAAGTACACCCACACTTAATTTAAAAATTAAAATGAATCCACTTATAACTTTGCCCAAAATTTAATTTTAAGTTAATTTGCTTAGGGCCCTCCCTGGTGGCACAAGTTAAAGCACAACACTGTGAAGCTAGCTACAACATTTCGGTACCAGCTCAATCCCCAGCTGACCTACATGGCGCAGCAGATCTCTCCTGTCTCGTCCACTGTTCCCTCAGTAGTGTACTTTGTCAGTCTATCTGTTCTCCTTCCCACTCTGTTTCTGGTGAATCCTCTCACCTCCCCTACACTTCTGGCCTGTACCCCAGTTCTGTAATCATAAATAAATCTTCAAAAAAAAAAAGTTAAAAAATTAAAAAATAATAATTTGCTTAGTACCAGTACAGACAAATTTGAAAAATACAATGAGATATTTATTCAACAAAAGAAATTTTGCATTTTTTCATTATTTCGAAGTGTCCTTTCATATTGTGTCATTTTTTACTTATATGAGAAAATAGACTTTTAAAATTAGGGAATACACAAATCCTTTGAGGTGCTTACTATATAATATAGCCTATGAATAGATTTTCATATATACAGAAATAATATTTAAGTAATGTGAATTTTAACATTGCTCATTTAAAATAAGTGTTTTGTTTTTTAAGGGTCCTCATAATCAGAATTAAGTTAGTTTTTTATATTAATGACACCAGTATCATTGACCTAGAAAGATTACACTTTTATTATATTTTATTTGACCAAGTTCCCATCTTCTGCCTGAATCTGTGTTCCTCCTTTCCCACTATATTTCATGTTTGCACTTCTAACCCGTCTTTTAAATTTAGGATTACTTCACTCAAATATTTTCTAAAAAATAAAAAATAAAATAAAATAATAAAAATAAATTTAGGATTAGTTCTTTGAAATACTGTGTAATAATATTTTTGTATGTTTTTCAATTTTATATAAATGTACTATGGTATAGATTTCATTTTACTTCCAGTCATAAAAAGTAGGTTTTTAGACCTACTTACATTCTTTTATATAACATGCTTCTGCGTAATATATATTGTTACCATCACATGTTATAACTTAGATTGTTCTCATTTTTACAGATGTGTACAAATCTTCATATGCACACCCTTGTAGTTTGTTTTTGGTAAATGTGTCCTAGAGGGAAGGGGGTGAATATATGTTTAATTTCAATTAAGTTATGCTGGATTGTTTCCAGAATGGTTGTATGATTTTACCCTGGCACCAGCAAGTCATGAGGGTTTCATTTTCTCCACATCTTCAGCAGCAATGATTTGTGCATGTCTTGATCTACAAGACTAAACAGCTAACTGAAAGTTCTATACAACCACATGGTGTTTTTTTTATTTTTTAAGATTTATGCTTAAAGAACTGGGGTACAGGCCAGAGATGTGGTGGGTGAGAGGATTCACCAGGACAGTGGAGGGAGCAGAACAGGCAGATCAACTGAACTACACTGCTGAGGGGAGCAGTGGGCGGGTCAGGAGAGGTCTGCCATGTCATGTGGGTCACCTCCCTGGCCCAGGTTTGAACTCATGTTGCAGTGGCTTTGGAGAGCTTCATAATGCAGTGCTTTATCCTGTTGTGCCACCAGGGGGAGCCCACAACCAAAAATCAGATTTTAACAAACATAAGGAAATAGTAATCTGCTTCACTTCAGAAACAACCACATTTTTAGCTACTACATTTCTTCTTATTTCCAAATAATGTATTAATCATAATTTATATCCGCAGGTCTCCTCTTTTGTCTGAATACCAAAATCTATATCTACTTGCCATTTTAATATCTCTACTAATAAGCATCTCATGTTTAGTATACTGAAAAATTTATATTCATTCCAAAACCTGTTTTCCACCATTCTCTTCCCTGTGTCAGTAAATAGCAACTACATCTTTCCATTTGTTTTGGCCAACTCTTTGTAATCTTACTTCTCTTTTTCATTTACATCCCCAATATATCAGGAAATCCTGTTGTAACTTCAATATATATCCAGCATCTGAACACTTACCATCTTTACTACTCCTGAAGTTTAAGCCACTTCATTGTTTGCTCAGACTGTTATAATATCCCTGTGATTTGTTATACTGCCTTTACCTCACCAGACCTATAGTTTGTTGTCAAAATGGGAAGAGTATTCTTTTTAAAACTATATGTAAGTTATATCAAGACTCCCCTGTCAAAAAGCTCTCCAGTGGCATCTCACTTGACTACATTAAAAAAATTCAAAAGACCTTATGATGGTCTACAAAATATTATGTCATCTGATCTCCTACTCTTTGCCTTCTGCTTTCCTCACAGAAGTTACATTGACTTCCTTGCAGTTACTGAATATTAAGGCACATTTGACCTTAGGGCCTTTGCATGTAGTTTTTCTTATGTGTGGAACACTTTTCTCCTAGACAACCTAATCGCCCTCTGGCTCATCTTTCTGGTCATTGCCCAAGAGTTATTTTCTCAGTGAGCCCATCTGTGTCACTCTCTTTTAAACTACAACCCTTCCTTCTCTGCATTCCTTACTCGTCTTTGTTTTCCTTTGTGGCATATACTGCTTTATCCTTTTGAATCCCCACATATGAAATTACCTGGCATATTTTAGGTACTCATATACTGAAAGAATGTAGTAATATTCCTCATATTCTAATATCAGAAGTTTCTAGAAAGAGCATCTGTCATAAAACTAAAATATTAGGCCCTCTCTGGTGGTGCAACATAGCACAGCACCATGAAGCTATCCACAGCCACAGCACTGAGTTCAATCCCTGGCCAGGGAGGTGCCCAGCAGATCTCTCCTCTCTCACCCACTGCTTCCCTCAGCAGTGTTATTTCAGTAAATTTGTCTGTACTGCTCCCTACTGTCTCTGATGAATTCTTTCACCCCTGCATCTCCAGCCTGTATCCCAGTTCTTGTATGCATAAATCAATAAATCTTAAAAAAAAACTATTAACAACATAT